GCATATTTCGCTTACACTGCTTATTTGTACTCGAGTGCATTTCCCATTCGATGTATGTATGTATGTACATAAATTGTCTAAAATCTGGGACATTCACTCGGAGTGTATGAATGTTAATGCGATTTCCTTAGTGTCCTTTCCTTAAATACGAATGCATTGCTTTGAATGCTGCTTTCACTATTACTCTCCAGGTGCAATGAGTGAATACTTTATTTAAATACATATGTATGTATGTAAAGTAGATTCATGTACATGCATACATATGCACATACATATATACATTTGTATAAGAATATTTATTACATGATATGCCTTAATTCTTAGTACATAAATATTGTAAATGTGATCTTATTGGGGTACTGAACCTACTACAAATTTTATTTGGGTCAGCTTCCTTAATTTGTGATGAGCTTTTTGGTGTAGGCACAGAAATGAACACTGAATTCCTAATAAGATAAGGGGGTCGAAGAAATTAGAGAAAATCTCTGAAAAATTAAACGCGCTTTGCTGCTTTATGATAAGGTTGTTCCGAGTCTTGTTTGCAATATTTGTAAAGGAAATCATAGCTTCGGTGTATGTAGGGTGGTCCAAGTAAAGTAAAGTCCCCAAAAAATGAAATGGGGCGACACATAAAAAATCGATAGTATTAAAAAAGTAAGTGCGCCTGGGCCACACTGAAGAAGTGAATTTTACGTACACACGTACCTACATACATATATACATATGTATGTACGAACATGCATACATATGTACATACATCTGCTTTTGCTTAAGGTTATATTTTTTGTCTTTTTTCTATCTACATCCCTTCAGATAGCCCTGTTCGTTCTAATTACATTTATGTTATTCTGTTTTCCTTTACCCGCATTTTTATCTTTATACTCTATCGATAACAAAAACGATAGTAACATCCAGCAAAATATCGATACAAAACCGATAAAAATATCGATAACAAAATCGATTACAAATTCGATAAAAATTTCGATAGCAATGTCGATAATAACATTGGTAGCAAAATCGATTAGAAAATCGGTAAAAATGTCTATAAAAAAATCGATAACAAAATCGCTAATTAATCGACAACAAAATCGATACATAATCGATAACAAACCCCATAAAAAACGATAACAAAATCGATAAAATATCGATAACAAAATCGACGAAAAATTCGATAAATCTTTCGATAGCAAAATCGATAATATTGGTCGCAAAGTCGATTAGAAAATCGATAAAAATATCGATAACAAATTCGATAACAAAATCAGTAAAAATATCGATTATTATAACTATAAGTTCCGAGAATATCAAAAGCGAAATCGTTAACAATATCGATAAAAATTTCGATGACAACGTCGATAAAAATATCGATAACAAAACCGATAAAAATATCGATAAGTCGCGAGAATCCCGAAAATCTCAAAAAACCCAAAAATGAGTCTGTGTCCCTATCTACATATATCCTTTTCTCTATAATTACCTTTATTTTAATCTTTCTTCCTCTATCTTCATCTTTACTTCAATCGGTATCCTCATCCTCATCGTTTTCTTTATATGTATCTTTGTTATTACTTTTATGTTTATCATTTTCTTCATCTACATATTCCTCTTCACCTTTTCCCTTGTATAAGTAAAATGTTTAAATTTACCTTGGTCTTCATTTTTGCCTTTATCTTGACGCATCTTTGCTTTTGTTTTTATTTTTACCTTTGCCTATATCCTTTTCTTTATCTATGTACGTAGTCACCCTTACTTTCATTCTTGTATTGGTCTTTTTCTAAGTGTTATTCTTTAATCTTTTGTTAGCAAATTTTTGTTAAATTAATACCATACACACAAGAAGCACTTGTTTCAGCCCCACCGCTTTCCGTTGCACCAATTTCGTTGCACCATTTCCGTGTGCAATTTCCGTTGAATTTGCCAATTTACTCCCAACCAACCAACCGCCGCTAAAGAAGTATCACTTCAAAAAGTCCGCTAGCCAGTGTTTTGCTCACTCGGCCATTACGAGTGTTGAAGCAGCGCGAACAAAAGACCTTCTCGCCATGTAAGTTGGCAAGGGAGCTTTGTTTGTAAGACTTGCGAGCCAAACTTAACAAAATCCTACAAACTATTTTACTTGCTGTCTTTTAATTGTCTTACAAATACTTGCAACTATCATATCCAGAATTGCTCTGCAAATTAAATAATACGCACCAGAGTAAGTTACCTTGTCTAAAATCTACTTAACTCTTTTAAATTTTACTTAGTTAAACGTCCCAAAATTCAGACATGACGTCATGGAGGAAGCTTCTCTTCGAGCTGTCAAAGTCGATGTGGGGTTCGATTAACTTAGCTAATGTTTTACCTAGAATTTCATGCAGTGTCGAATCTAGTCAATGGTAGACTTTCCAGATATGAACACTGCAAATCATTTGGTTTATATATACATATAGGGCTTCGGTCTCTGACACATTATCGTCCATATGGCCTTTTAAGCAATGTTTTAAAAATTATTTCCTGGGAATAATTCTACAAACATCAGAATTTCCTTTAGTGCGGATTAGGCAACTTACGATCTTCGGGTATGCATACGGTGACCATCCGTCCTTTATTTTAAAGGACAGTCCTTTATTTGAACCCCCTGTCCTTTATATTTTTTTTTTCAAAATAAAGGACGCCTTTTGTCCTTTATTTCTTAAACTGTCCTCTAAATCAGCTCTACATACATAGGTAAATTTTTAAACACAGAATATGAAAAATAAAAATGTCCCTTACAAAATATAATTAAAACCTTCGCCAGTTTGTTTCGCCCCCACCTAAGGGTTTATATATAATCAGTAATCTTTGTACAACCTATAAAGGAAGATCGTGTTGCGCGCTGAGTTTCCAGTTCCATTGAAAGAAAATAATAAACCCCCTGCTGCACAGTGGTTCAAAACTGTCATCTAGTGTTCGTAATTCACTGGAGACTTCATTTTTCCCTTAATTTGATTAATTTTTTTTTTTTTTTTTTATGAATTACATATTTGCTAGAGACCAGTTGAGCCTAATGTGTGAATTTTTATTTGATTATATTAAATTTTTTTAGTGCAAAATGCAAAAAAGTAGCAATTTTGAAGAATATGTATTCTCCTGTTCCAGTTAATAAATGTCACATAACAAAAACTAGTTGAAAACAGTTGTATGGTTTTCCCAAAACGAAAAAATTACACAAAAAAAACCTTGAAATGTTATAAAAAATGTTAACAAAAATAACTATTTTTTTGGTTTTTAGTAAAAATTGGTTTAAAATGAAGGCTCCGGTGAATTATGAACATTATATTCCAATTGTGAACCACTGTGTGCTGGCTTTCGTCGTGCAGTATGAATTATGGTAAACGCATTTTGGTAGCAAAGGGTGACAAAGTCCTTAAAAAGGATTTGGCTTCATTTTTCGCTAATTTCGCTGATTTAAATTACGATATGGGTAAAGTACTTTTATCATACAAGTTGTATGTACGTATTCCCAAATCATTTTGAAAAAAAATGTCCTTTATTTTACGTTAGTTAATATGGTCACCGTAGGTATGAACTCTACATACCCAAATTCGCGTTATTTAAATTTTCAATAAGTTCAAGCGTGGTTTCCCCGATGGCCTTGCTTTGGTTTATGCTTATAAAGTGTATATTTTAAAATGATTTGATATGGCAATGAGGCACTTTATCACTGTTTCAAGCATGTAAAAATGAAATACTTTTGGATAGACCTTTTTTAATAGACTTTTAAATACAATTAGAGTCTATTGCGACTAATTCGGAGTTCTTTATGACTGAAGCTCCTATGAGTAAGTAGAATAATAAAAACCAAAAACTCTTGGCTTCGTGCGAAATTATGCGGGGCTCAAACGTATTTGTTCGTACACACATATTTGTAGGTATGTATGTTGTGCAGGGTTTTAAGAATGTATGCATTGTGCACATGAACATATGTATGTATGTACTTATCTTCATAAAAACAACAATAAAGGTCTACATACATATGTATGTATATAGCAGAAAAATCACCCCATTATAAAGTTGCCCAGTTTTAACCTGTTTCACGCGATGAGCCTCCTGATGATTATAGTACAGGGTGGGCCAAATAAGATCTAACAATGTTAAACACTTGTAACTTCTTTATTTTTTAATATTATTGTTATGTTCTTCCTGCATGTTATAGTCAATCTCTTGGAAAATCATGATGGATACTTACGGCAAGACCACCAACAACGACTACAATACGCTATTCGTTTTACACAATTAGGCACACAAATTGATTTCTTAGGTAGAGTTTTGATGTCGAATGAAGCGCATTTTCAAGCAAAACTGTAGATTGTGGGGCTCTGAAAATCCATGACCAACACACGAGCACCAGTTACACCCATCCAGATGCACTGCTTGGTGCGGTGTTATGGCCGAAAAAGTTATCGGCCCATATTTCTTCGATAATGAGAATGAAACGCCGGTAACGATTTCTGGGGCTTCTTACAGAACAATGATTGACAACATTTTGCGGCCAACGGCGGAGCAGCATCCTAATTTGTGATTCCAACCAGATGGAGTGACTGCGCACCCTGCTAGGCAAACTATGTACTACCTGCTGCATGAAATTGGTAGGTCTTATTTGGCCCACCCTGTACAATCCGCTTCTCCATGGGCTCTCTTCTCCTTTTTCGAGACGCTCTCACACACATTTCGATATGCGCTGGCGCTAACTTTTGCCTATTTTCCCATCATCAAAGTGCCGTTGTCGGAAATCTCTCGTTTCGGCAAAAGTTTACTTTATTTCAACTTATTAATTTAACGATTTCGGTCGAAAGCATAAGGTAGAGTGGCAATGACAGTGGTAGTATTTGCGCTCTCGCCAACAATCGGGGAAATATGTACAAAATCACTCACGCACCGCCACACTTGGACGAATGCAAGGATGAATAACGAACGAAATGAAATGAAGAGCACACGGAAGGTAAGCAAGAATAACATAAAGTGAGTGTTGAAATAAATCAACCCAGAATTGCTTGGCCCAGTATCAATTCGTACGTTCCCCATAATGTCAGCCATAGCAGTGGATACGTCGTGGTCGTCGTGTACGGAAGCAAATCAGCTAAAGCAGCAGGAGTCAAAGGCTCAGTCAATGCAATAGATAGTGTTGTAGAAAAGCAAAAAACAAAAAAACAAAAAAATCATACAAATGTGAAAATGCCTGAAAAATTACAGCAGCAGCAGCAGCAGCAGCAGCAAAGGGAATGAAGGAAAATTGTGCAAGATATTGTATGGTTTTTCTAAAAAGAAATTTGCACAATTTAACGCTAACCGACCACCTCGGAAGCTCGGAAGCTGTGCACAAAGTAATTTAAAATCGAATCGAAAAAAGCTCAAAACGAAAAAGAAAATTACCATAAAGTGCTTGAAATTTGTGCGAGGAAAAGGGTGTGAGGAATGTAAGTGAAAAATCGATGGAAAATTAGTGCACGATTTGCAGAAAACGCCAACTTTTGGCTGATATCGCCAATATAAACTTTGTGAAAATTTATGAATTAAAAACGTGAAAATATTTTGTGCTTTATATCGAATGAAAATTTTTTCTTATATGTACATACATACACATACAAACACACACGCATACATTTTTCACAACTTCGTTGTCGTGCTTTGTTGCTGTCGGTCGTGTTTTCATCGTTGTCGTCGTCGTCGTCGATTGCAGGCAAGTACCAGGCAAGCCAAATAGCTCGCTACTACAAAAATTGTTGTTGTGCTAGTCGTCATAGCCGTCGTCGTCGTTGTATTTAGTTGGTTCAGCGTAGTGGTGTTGTTGGATGGCCGGAGCGACGGATCGTCGAACAGTTGGCGACTAGTCGAATGGAGGAGCACCCTTACGGAAGGAAGGGCACTTAAAAAAAGGCGATCGAAAAAGTAAAAAAAGTAGCTATGCTGCTTAAGTGTTTGAAAAACTTAAAATTAAAAAGTGTTTTCCAGTTAAACCATTAAAAACTTGTGAACAAAATATTACAGTACAGGGTAATGCATACAGTACCTAAATAAGTGATTAATTTTTTACTAAAAGCGAAAATTTTTCAGCTTTTCAAAAAACGAAAGCACAAAAAATGCCTCTGGTAGTGAAATAAAATCAGCCCAAAATTTGTGCGCACAACTTTTTTTCTTTCATTCTTTTTGAAATTCGCATCCGGAAATGCATTACATTCGTGCAATCGTAAAATGGAAAACGACAAAAGCGCAGCGCAACAACGTAACTAAATGACAGGCCAACAACTGTGCATGCTCCTTTGCACGAGTCGCCGCAGCAGCAGCAGCAGCAACACAACCAGCACCAACAACAATATTAAAACAACAACGCATTAGCACACGAACTGCGCTGCAACAACAAGCAAAGTGAAAAGTTTTCGGGCGCAGTACCTACATATGTACATATTTTTTTTAAGCTTGTGCTTGTGAATGAGCACGCGTGCGAGAATGTCAAGAAAATTAGCTAACTGAGCGAAATATGCGCGCTCTCATCTCAACTCAAAACATTTCACCACCCACCCATACACCATATATCCACAATCCACTCGCGCAAACATACCTACAAACGCGCATACATACATATATATACTATATATTCATATACCTAAATACCAATGTAGTAAGCAATGCAACTGTCAGCTGGGCTCAGCTAAACGTGCATTGGGAGAAGATGATGGGCTATTGAAATCGGAAAACAAGTTGTGTGGCAGTGTTACCATAACTAGAAGTTACACCTTAAAGAATATACCGAATAAATGTAGCTTAGTATGTACGAGAGAGAATGTTTGTTCAACCCCCTGGAGAACAAGTTTACGGTCTTTGGTAGATTTTCCAAACTCGCTTCCTCCAGTCATTATAGCGATATTAATTTTCTTCTTAAGATAGTGAAGTTAAAAAACACATAATCAGGGAGGTTCTGCAATTCACTTCCCAGTGAATTTCAACCCCTGCCAATTTGAATTCAAAGTGCATTTGATTGAAATTAACTCGGAAATGAATTGCTGAACCTGCCTGAATATTGAAATTTCAATAGAATTTTGATTTCTTACAGTTAATTTCACTAAAACAATTTAAGTGAGAAATTATTTTAATTCTATATGGAAATTGATAAAATAAAAAATCATTTTCCATTTAAATTGGTGGTGAAATCGGCTGTTAGTAAAATTTTAACTATGTCCGTCTAAGTGGAAAAGAAAACTATTCAAATGTCTGCCACGAGATGGCTTGCAGGGCTTAATCCTTTTGAGATATGTAAGTACTTCGCTACCTTACAGGTCAAAAATAGTTTATATCTAGCAGGCAACACGTTCATTTCGTAACCTGAATATTGCGAATTTTAAAAATTTCGAATCTTCAAGCTAAGGTTTCTTTTATAAAGAGTGAGCTCGGAGCTCGTGTTTCGTCTATGATACGCACACTTAATTCCTGAGTAACATAAGCTGTTTACTCAAAACAGTCGAAACGCTAGAGTCGATTAAAATTCACAAAAAATAAGTAAAAAACAAATAATTTTAAGACGCTGCCATTAGTCGGAGATATTGAATTATACGATTTCCTTTGGTTGGTAGATATCTTAAAAAGGAAACATTTTAGACTAAATTTGTTAAAGCATAAAAATCACGATTTTTGAAACTTTTGATTCGTACAGGCGGAAACGAGCGTTTCTAAGAATTTAATTTTGCGTAAATTCTAATTGACAAATCCATGAAAACAAATTAAAAGATACAGTTGCGGTCAAAATAATAGCAGCAAAATTCAAAATGATGCTGTTGGCAACTTATCTTTATTTATTTATTGTTAATAGTTCTCATTTAAAATGTGGGTCGATGGTCCGACAAATACAGGACATTTGACAACGCTAATCAAGAATGACCTTATGGTCTATCATTCCTGCTTACGGGTAATAACTCGGCTATACGTTGACATGCCTTGTCCTTCACACAGAGCGAAAAGCGCCTGATAAAATATAACAAAGGTTAGAAGACGTACAGTCATGTGAAAAATAATAGGGACACGATATTTTGACCAGTTTTGGCTATTTTCCTTTTGTTTGCTTAATGTTTACTATTGTTTTTTATAAATATACAGGTATAGCAAAAACCATATAAGTCCAAATTTCAAACTTGTAAAGAAATCAACAAAATTATACAACAACAAAACCACACTTTTTGTTAAGTCTTTAGAAAATTCTTAGTAAAAAGTTTGTTGTTGTTGTAAAACTTTGTTGAATTTTTCTAATTTTTTCACGAAGTTTAAGAGGCTTTTTATTTTTCGTGAGATTATCTTTTCAATGAAATCTGTAAGAAATTCCCTCGATTTTTATTAAAAGCTAACAATAGAAAGTGACAAAAGAAACAGTCTGCGCTGACCTGTTTGTACCTCCATTTAAAATCATAATTTGTATTAAAAAAAGTACTTACTTCTTCACCTCCGCGCCCCGTCTTCTACAAGCTTCCCCCATCTTCCTCTTGGTATGGGTTACCACGCTCTTAGGATACGAATCAATTGAAAAGTGAACCAGTTTCGTTGTGTGCAATCATTTAAAAATAATTTTGAGTAATTTTAACGTAATATCTATGCCTCCAAATTGGACTTTTACGAAGGATAGTGACCTAGTAACCTAGTGGTTCTTTTGTGGGAACTTCAAATCTACATTTCGCCAATTCATCAGTCAGTTCGTTAGCCTGAACATGACAGTTAAATAATTCAAGATTGATTCTATACGTGGCGAAATTGAGAGCTACTTTTATTACTAGATAACTTTTGAGTAGGAGTGAGTGCTTCCAAGAGCCTGCCTATAACCTCAGGTTTTGATCTGGGGAGTCATATGCCTTTTCCTTGAAGCCTTGGCCATTTTGTGGTCAAGGAATACTTCGCCGTTACATGTGTAGCAATCACCGAGCTCACGTGTTCAAAAGAAACAACTCGCGGGTGTCCCTCGTCTCATCAGCCATGCAGTTTCCTGCACTCATTTGGAGGTAATCGATAGCCCTAGCAACGATCCAAATGCCCTATTGGAGCTTATCGATCAGAAAACATCTTGCCTTCTCGAAAGAATGACACGCTGGTGCTCAATCAGTAGACCCCCTACTGAGATATCCACAATCTGAAATCGTTGGAAAAGGCACAGGTTCCCTCGTTTGAGAAATCTGGAATACTAATCTTGGGTTTAAGGAGTGTTATTCGAAAATACTTACTGGTAAAGCACAGTGTCAACTATTAAAGTATTTTATGACGAAAAACTCGATTTTTGGAGGTATCTTGAACGTTTTCTAGTTCCGGAATGACCCTAAATGCAGACAAAATATTTTTGTAGAAGTGATGAAATTTACGGAATTGTATGCCTCAATAGAGGAAGCAGCAATTTTTAGTATGTTTTTACATTTCACTGACAATTTTTTAAATATTTGTGTTTTTCAAAAAATTAAGCTACTTAGTTTGAGACTTTTATCTTTACACCACTATTGTTTTGAACTTTTTAAGTGAACAAAATATTTAAAAAATTGTTGGCAACCCCACCCAAAAATACAATCCACTCATGTGCTCTTTTGTGCTTTCGTACACATTCGCATACTCCGCCAAATCAGGAGGGTGCTCAGCTGTACTCTCCACTCACCAGGCAATATGCTCGTCATTTGCCCTCATGAGATGGTAATGACGTTGTAGAGAATTTTCCGCGCTGAACTGAATATAATCAAAAGTGTGAGCGATAAAGGTACGCACACATACACACATGTTCTGCGGATATGACGGAGTGCCCCATTGTGAACGATTAGAGACTTTTGGCGTAAGTGATTTTCACATGAGGCAGGCCAGACCGACGACCACCAGCAAATATCAACCACCAGCTGTGGCAATGCGTACAATTGTTTGTATGTGCATACATTTGTATGTACATATGTACATTTCCGTGACAGTGCTTCTGAATAACTTATTGACTTCCAGAAATATTTCAAAGTATCTAAAGTAGTGTTTATGGGGGATTTTTAAGAAAAAATGGTCTTACTTTATATTTTTTATAAATTTATTTATTTTATATATTTCGTCTCCTTAATGGTTAGCTTCATGTTCAAGCCAAGGATATTCGCGCACACACACATACCCAACCACATGTATAGAAATGTCAAGGCATGAAAGCTGGTGTTTGGGTTTACATACGAACGTACATACATATTTTCTTTATACATATTAACATATATGGACAAATCCGGGAATAGTCAAGCAAACGCGAAAAAAATTTAACTGAAGTTCTCACATTTTTGTATCAATATGTATATGTATATTAATTTCACGTTTCTTTTCACACTTATGTACATATATGAGAAATGTGATTTGTGTCTCTTAGTTCTTGAAACAAAGTCTAAGCAAATAATAGGGACACGACATTTTGACCAGTTTTGCCAATTTTTCTTTTGTT